GAAATGGCCGACAGGTGACCATATTTGATTGCTGGATTGTGACAGTTGAAGTTTGTCATTGCTATTTATTCAGGATTACTGAAAGAGATACTCCTGAACCATGATGTGTATGTTCCCCTCAATCTCTAGCTATGTCGGTTTTATTAGTTTTGGAAATAACCTACATTATGTCCGTCTAAAAATCAAACCTTGTAAAAACTCATTTATTTGTGTTTTTTAACTTGCCACCGTCGTGTAATAAGATATTCTTTGGTGTTCGTGTTGTCGCTAACAATTGCTTGACTGTATTTAAAGACTCGGTACAATTTAGATATATACATAATCACGGATCTTCTTAAATATTAAGTGTAGCCTCCCTTTGATCCCTAATTGTGAATAATTTAATTGTGTAACCGAAAAGAAATTTTAAATGACATTAGATTTTGAAAGTGACAGTATGTCATCAATGTCAATTAATGTACTGTGAGAAGGCATGAAAAAAGAAACAGACAGGAAAGAAACAATGATGATAAAACGATGAGACGGGGTTGGGGCAATATCCCTCCGGAATCTCTTGTCAGAACATGAAATGGCATGTTTGATGAATAACGGCATCATGACCATTCAAGCAACACAAACGTACAAGTACAGTTGTGGTAACGCAAAACCCACAAAAACCTCGTGTGCACATCGTGCATACATCGTGCGTACATATACACTACACAGTATCAGTATCGTGCGCACAAATTACTGTGCGCAGAATCGCACTTTTTGTGCGGTTTGGTAAAAATAGTTGCCTAATATTACGGATCGAAAATTAAACGATAAACTCGTGTACATGTAGTTATGCGTTAATAGCGATCACAGAAATATTACAGTTGATCCGTAATTGTAAAAGTTATTTTGACAATTATCCGAATAACACTGGACCCTGCATTATCATATATAGTTTTATACCCCAGAGAGTGCCGAGTGGTGTGGCCCGGACAACACAAATTACCTGTACATCCGTGCCGGCTAGGCCGCCCGTGTAACAAATACGACACTTATGTTTTGTTTACAAAATGATAGAAAAATGAAAGTAATACACGAGTAATGAAAATAAAAGATGTTCATTTAATGTTTACATAATTGCAATATATCTAATGTATACATGATGAGTGTCCGTACACTAAGGTTAGTCACGTGTGTTTACGAGTGTACATGGTTGTTCAGTATGTATCTGATACATCTACAAGTGTCCAACCTATATATCTATGGCTTAATTAGGAAATATACTTAGTTGTACTCATATATTTAGAAAAGTAATGAAAACCTATCTCACACTTATTTATAAGTAATTTCTAAAAAAAAAAATTAACCACCATAAAAACACACAACGTGCGCACATATTGATTTCGTTCAGTTTTCCTATCTTGCATGCATCGTGCAGACATCGTGCGCACATCGCACAACAATGAAACCATTGGAGTGAATCAAATACAAAACAAGTAATTTCCGTTAAATGTAAACCATAACGTCCCAGAAAATCGGATATTAAATGAGTTTTTAATACATTGATTTAAAACGTTGAGACTAGTCTCCTAAAATCTCAAATGAAGTGAAAGTGTACTTTGGAAACATAGTTTATTAAATAACGCTTGACAGACTTTAGAATGAAAAATGTGAAGGACAAAGTCAGATTTGCCACTTTTTTTTACTCCATTTTCAATTCATAACCTATTGTCATTGTTGATGATATGTAAAAAGACAAGGCCTTTTAAAGAGCGTAGCATCTGATAACTTGTGTATAGGTATTGGAATGGAGCACTCAGTATCTCAGTGCTATATGGATTTTCTGTTAGGGTTATCTCCCCTATATGAACGTATCTTAAACCTTGATATGATGTGACCAGTTGCACTTTTTTTTTATTTCATCTAATTACGTTGATATATGACTATATGCAGTGATCCAAGGATGTATTTATCTGTAATTGAAAAATATACTTTTGAATAAAATATACTTAGCAATATATATACTGCTATGGATTTAAGTACTTTGGCTATGTAAATATCGGATCCACGGAGGAGCAAATTTACAAAGACTGGATTACCACCTAAGTTACGACTTTTCTCCGCTAGGTTGCACTCGTTGAAAATATATGGATGGATTTCCAAAGAGACGTCTATCGGAGAGCAGAAAGAACTAGGGCAGGCAATTCAATCTACAACTTATATTGCAGTTTTCTCACTCTCGAGAGAAAAGACCAAGATATACTGTTCACTATTTTGATTTATTACTTAATTACAAAATGTAATTGAAGTCTATAACTTATTTTTCAGAGAATCAAGTTATTGTTTTATAAACCAAAACTATATTTCGCCGCGGTTTCTCCAGTTATTTTTCGAATTACTTTTCCATGGAATATTGCTTCCGGTTTTCGGACTATCAAAAAATGGTAACAATGAGAAATGGGTAATTCTTTCAAGTCTTTGAATTAGCTACGCTCATATTATGACGTCACAACTGATAATTGACTGCCGCAGTGAACGAAAGACGTCCGAAGGTACAACAAACTGGTGACACATGCAAAATATCACGTGGGCGAATTCTCTGGATAACAGGCGGATTGAATACAAGAAAACATAAACTGAAGATTGAAATTTTGGGAGGAGGGGTGGGTAAATCTTCACAGTCGCTTTCAATATGTGAACTACTAAACAGAGTAAAACCAATCAAAAGTTTAGGGAAGTGATTTTGCTCACATCAACGTTGCAAATTTCAATACAATCAATAGAGATTCCGTAGTTCCCGTCACTACGGTAGTCTGAGGTTTAACTTGTGGATTAACTACTTCTCTGTAGTTACCGAAAATGAACTGTCTGGGATACTTTATATTGTAATACAATCAGAACTTGCAGGATGTGTAACTTTTACAAATAAAGGACAAAAAATCACAAAACAGACAAAACCTAAACTATATGAACATATCTAACGCGACACGTGACCGCGTGATCAGACTTTCTGCATTTTGCAAATTACGTCAAGATAATCCATTGTTACTACAACATGGCGTTTTTGTAATCGTCATCTTAATATCTTCTTACATCTGAGGCCAATGAACCTTATCGAACAAAGGTTTATTGTTTTACAACAACGACACATTTCTTTTTTTAATGTTCTCTGTAGAATGGTTTAGGAACAGCAGTATAATTCGTGAGTGTATCATGCAGATAAGATATAGATACTCGATCTGGTTCCTCATACACGCACCACGTCCTTCAAAATTGCATTTGTGTAAAGTTCGGAAGGCCCCTTGGAGTTACAAAATTTTGAAGTCTTTTTTTCACTTAATGCCGTGAACATTATATTTAGGCTTTGTGTAGAATGTTACATGGGTTAATTTCCTGAAGAATATATATATATATAATTGGGTGTAGGAGTGTTTTATTGTTCTTATTTTGCAGCCGCTGATAAGCCACAAAACTTATTGATTTCTTTTTTACATTGTAATATCATTTTGAAGTCATCGTGGCTCGAAATTAATTGTTTTTATTCTATGATATAAGGATGTTTATGCGTTTTCATTTTATGTAACGATATCGCAATATGCAATAAACAATAGTTTGTCAACAGAGAAACATGGATGGCCCGGGTATCTGACTGAATAATACGACAATCCTCTTAGGAATATATATTTTGAGAACAATGATTACTAATGCATTATGCCAGATGGTATATTTGTTAATGCTCCTGTATTCAGAGATTCTCTACCTGTTTCTGAATACAAATTCTAATCTTAAAGCTTACGAAAGATACTGTGAAAATCATCGGGGCATTTGATGAAATGTGGAACCCGATGGTTTTCCTGTCAATTCAAAACAATAAAAAAAGCAAATTCTTATTCGTTGGTTTCATGAATATGAAATTTATAGAATTATGGTGCTCCCTATCTTGATATTGACTAGACGTTTGGTCAAGTTTGGCGTTCTTCTAAATGTTAGTCCCGTAGCATCACTGACGAGTGCTAGAAGGATGAAACTGCTGTATGGTGCAGGCAATTCATTACTTCTTTATCTAATTCGATATTTATATTGAAAGTTGCTATTCACTTCTGTGCCTTTTGTACATGCTACGAATTGGAAAGTGTTATTCTCTAGCATGTCTTTTCTACAATATTTGTATCGAAAGATATCATTCACTGTTGTGTCCTATGTACAATCTTTGTATTGAAAGGTGCTGTTCACTCCTGTGTCTTATTTACAATCTTAGTATTGAAAGGCGCTTTTCACTCCTGTGTGTTATGTACAATTTTAGTATTGAAAGATGCTGTTCACTCCTGTGTGTTATGTACAATCTTAGTGTTGAAAGGTGTCATTCACTCCTGTGTGTTATGTACAATCTTTGTATTGAAAGGAAGGCATATAAGTCCTTTGGAGTTCTAAAAAGTATAGCCCAGTGGTCGTCATACTAAGTGGAAGGGCGGGCCTATGTTTTAAAAACAGTTGCTTTGACGAACCCCACTTATTGTCAGACTATTATCAAATCCGTAGCCTTTCGTGAGGGACTGATAAATATAGTTTTTCAATATTTTTTTTAGAAATTATTTTTAGAAATAATGATTAGATGTTTCTACTAAAGAATTGCCTTCTGAAATCATATGAACACGAAACACATTCTCTATTTCCCCATTTCCAGTAGAAAAAATGTAAATAACTTTTCTTAAAATGAATATGGATTTAGTATGTTTATAATGCTGCTTGGAAGTATGTGTTTGTAATAAATGGTTTGATTACGTTAGAGACAAAGAATTGTATCTAAAAATGTGGAAAAATCCATGAAAGTGCATCTTTCCATATATAACCGTCATTTTTTTTCATTCCATGAAAAAAATCCTTCTCCTGCGTTTTCACCGTAAACACTGCCATACCTCATGCATACGCAGAGACTATCCAATGGTTTGGTTATATTGTCTCAAACGACAACCCTAATACATAAACTGAGGATGTACAGCAACGAATAGCTATTACTGATATTCGTGATGAAGGTACTTAACTTCTATGGTATTAACCTCAATATTGAATACAATCTTTTGATGGTAGTGTTGCTTGTAAATTGAGATAGTTTATCAAATCACTTGTGTACGCCCTAACAGGAACATTGCCACATCTCAAAGTGCAGTATAAATTGTGTAAAGCGACGATCACTTGACACATGATAAAGGCGATTGTTGTTGGAGTATAATTTGTAAGATTCACAGTCGTAACTCAACGTCTCTTAGCTTTTTAGGTATCTTAGCTTGAGCCTGTTCATTAGTTCTGGGGGCATTATCACCAAAAAACAAGTCCATTTAACCCCATCGTGTGAGGCGAGATATTTTGGATTTTGATGATTTGAGTGTTGTGGTTTTACAATTAATGGCACCAAATGGTTGATACAGATTGTCAAATAAATCAAATGTTTAAACTAACAACGAATCAGCAATTCATTTGTTGTCAACGAGTGAGGAAACAATAGCACAATTCCAAAATGGTAAAATTTGGGTTTATTTTGTTTGTACTTCGATTCACGTCACCGACAGAACCCTGAGCTGATACAGATGAGCATGAACCCTCCTACTGATACGTTAAAAACTAACTTATAGACCTCCTCTAAAGATAAGTTAGAGACTGGTGTATGGGGCTCAACAAAAGATCAGTTAGAGACTGGCGTATGGGGCTCAACAAAAGATCAGTTAGAGACTGGCGTATGGGCCTCCTCTAAAGATAAGTTAGAGACTGGCGTATGGGGCTCAACAAAAGATCAGTTAGAGACTGGCGTATGGGCCTCCTCTAAAGATAAGTTAGAGACTGGCGTATGGGGCTCAACAAAAGATCAGTTAGAGACTGGCGTATGGGCCTCCTCTAAAGATCAGTTAGAGACTGGCGTATGGGCCTCCTCTATAGATAAGTTAGAGACTGGTGTATGGGCCTCCTCTAAAGATCAGTTAGAGACTGGCGTATGGGCCTCCTCTATAGATCAGTTAGAGACTGGCGTATGGGCCTCCTCTAAAGATCAGTTAGAGACTGGCGTATGGGCCTCAACAAAAGATCAGTTAGAGGCTGGCGTATGGGCCTCCTCTAAAGATCAGTTAGAGACTGGCGTATGGGCCTCCTCTAAAGATCAGTTAGAGACTGGCGTATGGGCCTCAACAAAAGATCAGTTAGAGGCTGGCGTATGGGCCTCCTCTAAAGATCAGTTAGAGACTGGCGTATGGGCCTCCTCTAAAGATCAGTTAGAGACTGGCGTATGGGCCTCAACAAAAGATAAGTTAGAGACTGGCGTATTGGCCTCAACAAAAGATCAGTTAGAGACTGGCGTATGGGCCTCCTCTAAAGATAAGTTAGAGACTGGTGTATGGGCCTCCTCTAAAGATCAGTTAGAGATTGGCGTATGGGCCTCCTCTATAGATCAGTTAGAGACTGGCGTATGGGCCTCCTCTAAAGATCAGTTAGAGACTGGCGTATGGGCCTCAACAAAAGATCAGTTAGAGACTGGCGTATGGGCCTCCTCTAAAGATCAGTTAGAGACTGGCGTATGGGCCTCCTCTAAAGATCAGTTAGAGACTGGCGTATGGGCCTCCTCTAAAGATCAGTTAGAGACTGGCGTATGGGCCTCCTCTAAAGATCAGTTAGAGACTGGCGTATGGACTTCCTGTAAAGATAAGGTAGAGACTGGCGCATGAACCTCCTGTAAAGATAAGGTAGGTCTGGCGCATGAACCTCATGTAAAGATAAGGTAGAGACTGGCGTATTGACCACCTGCAAAGATCATTTAGAGACTGGCGAATGAACCTCCTGTAAAGATCAGTAAGAGACTGGCGTATGGACTTCCTGTATAGATCAGTAAGAGACTGGCGTATGGACTTCCTGTATAGATAAGTTAGAGATTGGCGTATGAACCTCCTGTACAGATAAATAAGAGACTGGCGTATGGACTTCCTGTATAGATAAGTTAGAGACTGGCTGATGAACCTCCTGTACAGATAAATAAGAGACTGGCGTATGGACTTGCTGTAAAGATAAGTTAGAGACTGGCTTATGAACCTCCTGTACAGATAAATAAGAGACTGGCGTATGGACTTCCTGTATAGATCAGTAAGAGACTGGCGTATGGACTTCCTGTATAGATAAGTTAGAGATTGGCGTATGAACCTCCTGTACAGAAAAATAAGAGACTGGCGTATGGACTTCCTGTATAGATAAGTTAGAGACTGGCGTATGAACCTCCTGTACAGATAGATAAGAGACTGGCGTATGGACTTCCCGTAAAAATAAGTTAGATACTGGCGTATGAACCCCCTGTACAGATAAATAAGAGACTGGCTTAAGAACCTCCTGTACAGATAAATAAGAGACTGGCGTATGAACTTCCTGTATAGATCAGTAAGAGACTGGCGTATGGACTTCCTGTATAGATAAGTTAGAGATTGGCGTATGAACCTCCTGTACAGATAAATAAGAGACTGGCGTATGGACTTCCTGTATAGATAAGTTAGAGACTGGCTGATGAACCTCCTGTACAGATAAATAAGAGACTGGCGTATGGACTTGCTGTAAAGATAAGTTAGAGACTGGCTTATGAACCTCCTGTACAGATAAATAAGAGACTGGCGTATGGACTTCCTGTATAGATCAGTAAGAGACTGGCGTATGGACTTCCTGTATAGATAAGTTAGAGATTGGCGTATGAACCTCCTGTACAGAAAAATAAGAGACTGGCGTATGGACTTCCTGTATAGATAAGTTAGAGACTGGCGTATGAACCTCCTGTACAGATAGATAAGAGACTGGCGTATGGACTTCCCGTAAAAATAAGTTAGATACTGGCGTATGAACCCCCTGTACAGATAAATAAGAGACTGGCGTATGAACCTCCTGTACAGATAAATAAGAGACTGGCGTATGGACTTCCTGTAAAGATAAGTAAGAGACTGGCGTATGGGCCTCCTGTAAAGATCAGTTAAAGACTGGCGTAAAAACCTCATGTAAAAATGAGTTACAGACTGGCATATGGACCTCCTGTAAAGATAAGGTAGAAACTGGCGTAAGGACGTTTTATACAGATAAGTTTAAGACTGGCTGATGGATCTCTAAAGATAAGTTAAAGACTGGGATATGGACCTCCTTTAAAGATCAGTTAGAGGCTGGCGTATGGGCCTCCTGTAAAGATCAGGTAGAGACTGACGTATGGACCTCCTCTAAAGATCAGTTATAGACTGACGTAAGGACGTTCTATACAGATTAGATTGAGACTGGCTGATGGATCTCCTGTAAAGATAAGTTTGAGACTGACATATGGGCATGTTAGATTAGCATATTGACATGACTATAATTCATGCTTAAAACCTTATATGCTGCAAGATAGTTTATTTCCTGTTTTAGGTGTTGCCATATGGAGTTATCCCTAACATTAAGAATAATTTGCTTGGAATATGGTGATTTGACATTCAAATGTATGACTGTTGATGATCATTACGACTTCCAAATGGTTTTAAGTAAATGTTAATGGAGTGAGAATATGACCTCACGTTTATTAGAAAGCCATTACAAGGTATTCCAATAACTTAATGTTTGTCACTTTGGTAGCAATTTCAGTATTTTTAAATAAGTGACATTTTCATCTTCCTGACAAACTGAACATCCAGAGGTGGTAGACCACACGTTTTTCTTCATGTTCGCCCGTTTTCCTTGCTAATACCTTGCTGAATGTGAATGGATTCCTATCACATTTTGTTTGATTGTGTATCTTGGTATCACCCATCACGAATTCAACTACTGTCGTCGTTCATTGACGTGAATTAATTACGTCATTTCTAATTGACAGGTTGATTTCCATGCGATAACATCGCTAAATGTAAATGCATTTCGATAAAATTTGGTCTGTATCTTGTATTCAGTATGGAACAAATAGTAGACAGTAGGTCAGCAGTAATAGACAGTAGGTCAGGGTAGTAGACAGTTGGTCAGCAGTAATAAAGACTAAGTCAGCAGTAGTAGACAGTAGGTCAGCGGTAGTAGACCGAAGGTCAGCAGTAATAGACAGTAGGTCAGCGGTAGTAGACAGTAGGTTTGCAGTAGTAGACAGTAAGTTTGCAGTAGTAGACAGTAGGTGAGCAGTAACAGACAGTAGGTCAGCGATAGTAGACAGTAGGTCAGCAGTAATAGACAGTAGGTCAGCGATAGTAGACAGTAGGTCAGCAGTAATATGTTGTAGGTCAGCAGTAATACAGAGTAGGTCAGCGGTAGTAGTCAGCGATAGTAAACAGTAGGTCAGCAGTACCATGTTGTATGTAAGCAGAAGTAGACAGTAGGTTTGCAGTAATAGACAGTAGGTCAGCAGTGATAGACAGTTAGTCAGCAGTAATAGACAGTAGGTCAGCAGTAATAGATAGTTAGACATCAGTAGTAGACAGTAGAGCAGGGTAGTAGACAGTAAGTTAGCAGTAATAGACAGTAGGTCAGCGGTAGTAGACAGTAGGTTTGCAGTAATAGACAGTAGGTAAGCAGTAATAGACAGTAGAGCAGCAGTAATAGATAGTTAGACAGCAGTAGTAGACAGTAGGTCAGCAGTAATAGACGGTATGTAAGCAGTAGTAGTTAGTAGGTCAGCAGTCATAGACAGTAGGTCAGCAGCAGTAGACAGTAGGTTTGCAGTAGTAGACAGTAGGTCAGCAGTAATAGATAGTTAGACATCAGTAGTAGACAGTAGAGCAGGGTAGTAGACAGTAGAGCAGGGTAGTAGACAGTAAGTTAGCAGTAATAGACAGTAGGTCAGCGGTAGTAGACAGTAGGTTTGCAGTAATAGACAGTAGGTAAGCAGTAATAGACAGTAGAGCAGCAGTAATAGATAGTTAGACAGCAGTAGTAGACAGTAGGTCAGCAGTAATAGACGGTATGTAAGCAGTAGTAGTTAGTAGGTCAGCAGTCATAGACAGTAGGTCAGCAGCAGTAGACAGTAGGTTTGCAGTAGTAGACAGTAGGTCAGCAGTAATAGACAGTAGGTCAGCAGTAATAGATAGCAAAACAGCAGTAGAAGACAGTAGGTCTGCGGTAGTAGACAGTAGGTCAGCAGTAGTAGACAGTTAATCAGATTGAAAACGCATTAAATCAATATTGATAGAATTACTAGAAGTAGGCTGTTACAATTTGTATTTCCCCCTGGAATATCATAACAGTTTTCCTTTTAAAATGACGGAAGTATAAGGAGAGGATGATGTGCAGGATATTGATGTATGTGTTATAATTTCTCTGATTGTGTTAGTTTTATTAGAGATACGAACATGTTTACACAGAAAGTGACATGCATACAATCACATGCAATTCAAATCGTCTGTCTTATTTCCTGTAACTGGCGCCTTGTACGAGAATATCAGCATAAATCATTTGTTTTTGACAGATTGACATGTATTTGCATTGGCAATATAGAAAACAAACAAAATGGCGAGCTCCTTGGTGTAAAAGTTCGTTTGAGTTCTAGTAGCGGTCGTGCTCATGAATATGATGAACGATACTCAATGATATCAAGCTAGGTCGACCTGCTACGACTGCCATTCAATAAACAAAATATTGCTTTCACTATATGGCTCCCGTTCACAAAGGCAATAAAATAACATAGCGCCTTAGCATACCACAAAGGAATTCAACAGCAATGCACGGGTACAGCTTTAACACGACCTCATAAGAATTGAGTGATTTACAGTGTAAAGATTGATAAATGGTGTGCTCTCCAGACCAATGGCATAGTTTTGCACGCTAAAATGGGACGGAGAACCATGTTGAAATACGCACTTTTATTTGTATATTATAACTCGATTTGCATGATAAGCAATAATTTCCGGGAAATCATTGTAAGGCGAGTGATTGCCGGAGAAAGTTTTGAATGTCAAATTTGTATTATTATTCAAAGCTATCCAGTACCTAATCACCTAATCTTACATGAATATTTGTTCTAAGAATAATAATTCTTCATCAATTAAGGTCGGAACTATGATTTGGACGGGGAAAAGGGCAATAACTGTGTGAATGAGGTTGAAAGGAATACACTTGAATTTGACAACCCATTACTCCAAAGATGTATTTGTTGAAAAACTTTGATGGATGGACAAAATTGATAAAACATGGTATGGACAAGAAAACATCCCACAATAAATGTATACAAGCCATCTCACATTGTACAATGTAAATATTTTTAGATATAAGAGGCATTTAGTGACGAAAATAGAAAAAGAGAGATAAGTGACATTTCATAAATGGTTGTTAATGTTCCTCGCCTCTCCCGAGGCATGCTCATTGGGAGTTGGATAGATGTACCAGAAATGCAGATTCCATTATAACCAAACAAAGGTACATTTATAACAAAAAAAAAAAAAAAAAAAAAACATAGATGTACCAGGTAGACAAGCCAGCAAATAGAGGAATGCAGTAACTATTTTGTAGTAAAGTATTGCCTGTAAATACAGATTTCTCCGCTAACCCGATAGACCGTACATTTTAAAGCATATACAAATTGCTTTTGAGATTTTTTTATGAAGTAGAACAGAGGTTACATATCCTTCTCAACGATACATACCCGTATAAAAAAAATTAAAAAATTTCCTAACCAGCCGAACCAATCTATTCTTGTATGTGACGGAACCATAAGTTTATCTAATGTTTAAGTATCTTTCATGTGTGCGGAACATTT